AACCTATAAATATAGTATAAATCTATTATTTATGGCAATATTCTCTTAAGACATCAATCACAATTCAAATAATTAATCGAAAGAAAACCCCCAAACCAAATTATGAAGGAAATTAATTTTTATACATGTTAAATAAAACATTAAATTTAATTAATATAATTAAATAACAATCACATAATTTGTGTAATTCATTTAAAAACTATAATTTATAAATAAGAAAATAAACTCGACAATTTCTAACAATTAAAACAAAACAAATTTATTATTTATTTTTATTATAAATTGTTATTACTATCATTGTTGATATAATAACAAATATTATCAACAAAAATAATCAACAATATTTTTAACATATCACTGATTTTAATTTCGGCTTAAAACAAATAGATTTGTAAATGAATTTGACAAAACTTTTTTAAGCATTTTTATAATTAATAACTAATAAACTAATAATTTAATTAAAAATAATTATATCTTTTAAATTGAAAATAAATATTTTTAATTTACTCAATTTAAATTTTATTTTAATTTATTAACTCACAATTATATAACTCGTTATTAATTCTACAAATCATAAGAAAATATTAATAATTAATGAATAAAAAGCTTAATATGTGAATTTATGATATTTTTATTGTATTATTCATTATATAAATTAATGGTTATTATATATTTTTATCTAGTTTTTATAGATAATAAAATAAAATAACAATTTATTAAATTATTAATTTTAAGAATTTAAATTATTATTTTAATGTACAATTATTAATCATATAATATATGTAAAATAATAAAATAACTGATTAATTCCATATTATCATTTTAGTTGGATTTACAGTCTAACCTCCAAAAGTTTCACTTCTTACAAGCAAGTTATTTCAAGAGCGGCCGTTTTAGACTAAAACATCTCTTATGGTAGTGCTCTATAGCGAGATTTTTGAGGTTTATTTGGCCAAAAATGCCCGCTTTTGAGAGAAAAAATAATTATAATATCAATTCCTGAGATGTTGGATTTACTTAAAAAACCATTGGATGTCTTTAAGCAATATTAAATAAAACATAGATATGTTTGTGTTTTATATACTTAATAGCTGTTTTAATAACCTTTTTTATTTCGAAACAAGGTGATTTTTGTTCTCGTTGTTTGTGGCAATTATAAGAAGTGATTTTGTTGCCCAAATTGTGTTTATAGAACCCAACCTCTCGTTTTACTTGATTATGTCACATGTGTTGTAATCACAATAAATCAAATTGAACTATAAAATATAATATATTGATGAATTACTATTCATAAAATATATTATAATATTGTTGTGTTATTGTTATGATTGAGTGTGCAATATTGATATCACCAAGTTTTAAATGTATTACATTTCGATTCAATATATTTGTTCAATTACACACAATATAAGAATGGTGTTATTTAATGCAATAAGATTAACGCTAAATAACATAAAGAATGTTAAAAATTAATATTAAACCATTAACTTCGTACTTTAACTTGGTGTTATTATTCGTGTTTGTAATTTAACATTTTAAACTATCTGCAAGTAGCTACTCGGATCACTTTATCAACAGCAAATTTAGTCTTGTGAATACAAAAACGTTATCAACAAAAGTGTTTAAACTTTTCCTTCCTTTTCATCCATAATTTTAAATTCACAGCTTATATTTTGATATTAATTATACAATTATCTCATATTTTATAAACTAACCAAAAGGATAATTCAGTGGGTGTTAAGAAAAAGTGAGCTAAAACATAATTTAAGTTTAATAAAATTTAATTATTGTTGGTTTTCTTAGACACGATTTTTAAAAAGAAAACAATTAATATAATATACTATAATAACATATTATTACCCATAATTAATAATTATTTTGAACTTGATTAATATAATTTATTAATTGTTTGAAATTGGAGAGTGATCAATGCTAACCTTGGGTTAACCTAGATGATCATCTCTCCCCTTTGCCCATTCAAGGTGATGGGTGGGGGTTTTGTTAAATTTATGTCAGCAAATAAAAAAATACCAAAATATAAAAAAAAGATTTACATAATATATATCGATATTAAAAATATGGTAACTTAAAATTATCAATTATGATATAATAATTATTAAACACTTGTTGTTCTTTAAACAAAAGAACAGACGTTCAAATGCAGTTTCGAGCTTCATGTTCCTAGAGCGCATTTCACGAAGTTTTGAAAAAACCCGTTCAATTCCAACCGATGTTGGAAATACACAAACGATGATGTGTACAACACTAAGTAAATTGGTTAATCCATGTTCTTCCAATTCATCATAATATCCAAGAGTGTAAGTCAACTTTTATTCTTCGTGATTTTTAAAAGTTTCTGGTGAAAAGTACATTTTGGTGTTTTTATTTTTTTTTATTATTAAATTTTTTTCTTTTGGTGTTTTTCTCCATAATATTTCTGCCAACACACATATTTCATGTTCAATTTGAGGATCAAAAGTTTTGATTGCTGTTGTAATGTAACTTGGAACACATTGTGTTGTCAATATTTCATTTGGTGAATAAAACAATTGGAGCAGTTCTTTAAAAAATCATAATTGTGATTTTTTCTAAATACACTTTCGTCAATTTCACCACTGTGCCAATTAACATAATGTTTTGCTCTTATCATATTTGCTGAATGCGAAATTTTGTTAAAACGCAGGTGTATTTGAATTTGTAGTCTTTTCAAAACTTTCGTAAGAAACAAGTCTCCAGTTTCAAGGAAATCCTTTGCTTCTTTGAATTCGTCCCAAACATTACTTTCAACTTCATTCAGTAAAATATCAATATAACTTTCAAATAATTCAAGGTGTTCAACGTATTCAAACAAAAGACAGTCATCTTCTTGCAATAAAAAAAAACGAGAGTAAGCAATATTCTAAATACTTCTTTTGCATTGAAAAATATTTTCTTGATGTTTTCATTGTTTATATTATAGAGAATTCTTTGAACTGGTTCTTCCTCTGCCATATCACTTGCGTTTTGACATTGTTCTGCCACATCATAATCCTTTTGTGTACTTTTGATAAAATGTACACCATCTTGACCAAACACAATGCCATTTTTATCAAATTCTGTCATGAGACTTTCAAGTGGTTCTCCAGTACTTAAATAATTTGCAACTTGTTCATAATTGTTGGTGATATCTTCAACGTTTTTGTATATATAGCACCAACGAGTAAAGGAATACGTTGCTTTTATTCTGTGTTCAATTTGGCAATGTTGATTATAGTCAGACGATTTTCGTTTTCTACAGAACCATTGACATAATATTTTCAACATTTTTATCTCAGGCTCCTTATCTAATCCTTCACCAGTTAGAGCTACACAATGTGCACTACACCAAAAGTTTTTCATTTCTGTATCAATAAGAGCTATACCTGAAGGTTCATCTTTGTTGATTAATTCATTCATTTCCACTGAAAGTCCTCCATCCAAACCAGAACACACTGATGCACCATCTGTTGTACAGTTGATAATTCTATAACAGTTAAATCCAAGTCTGGTAATTTTATCAACAAGCCACTTTGCTAATGTTTTGGCATCTGTTGATCCTTTGTATTCTTGTAATAACAGTGGCATTGAGTAGACACGTTTACCTTGAACTAAAAGCACGAAAACACAGAATATTTCTTGGTCACCTTTCGTGGTTGAATCTACAGATATTGCAATACACTTGTGAAGGTCTCTTTCTGCTTTAATTTGGTTTCGTTGGGCAGTGTTGTTACTCATCAGTTGTGTCTTACTCGTTTTTGCACTTAATGCTAACTTCTTTGCACGATTCAGGGTATCTCTACTAAATGCTGCATGTGACATGAGAATACACCTTTTAATTGTTCGAATTTGTTCTTCGCTCATGTGTGAAGAAACGGCCTCATTGTTCATTACATAGCCAACAACCATTCTTTGTATTACCATCACACTTGAAAGAAACTTTTTGTTTGTGATTGTTCCAATATCTTTAAATAGATATTCGTATGCTACAATGAAACGCTCCAATATGAAACTTGATGTTTTATCATATGAAAATTTGCGCACACTTTCGCACACAGCTTGAATGTTTAAATCTTTGTAGCCAATAACATGGTAGGTGATAAAGGCCCTATCCTCAAACGCTTCCAATTCTTTAACAAGTGGTGTTGTGAGATTTTCTGAAACTCCTACGAACAATTTCTTATTCTTAATATCTTCAATAAGATCATCATTCAACATTTGTTCATATTCTGATGATTCATCGTGTTCATTTAATTCTTCTTGATCAATAATTCTCTCGGCTCTCAGCATTTCATCTAACAGAATTTCATCAAATTCAGCTTCATCTTCATCGTCGTCAAATCCACCATTTATTGTTTTTAGTATTTGTTGTGTTGATTGACACTCCGAATCAAACACTGGTGTTTCATATTGATTGACGTTGTTTTCACTCAAGTGTTTATCATCATATAATTTAAACAAAAATAGATTTCTTTGTTTAATAAAAGGACCTTTAGCAAATGAAATACACATATCATTTTTAGTGTACATAATTGATGGGTCGCTTGGATGTGATATTTTTGATATTTTGGAGTTTGTGTCGGCTGTTATAAAAGCTTTGTAATTTTCCATTTCTTGTTGACTGGGGTTTCGGTGTTGTTGGTGATGTTCTTTAAAGTAAGAACTGTGGTCTTTTTCGCCACTTTTAAGTATCCAACAATGTTGTTGTAAACAGAATGAAAAGTCGACTCCTTTGTAAAATACTCGGATATATGAATTTGAAAATGCTACTTCATTTTCAACAAAGATCGGGTGTTTACTGTCAAAGGTCATATTTGAATGTTTAAGTTTGTTTGTAATTTTTATTAAATATGTTTATATTTGAAAAATAACCTCACAAAAATCAATGATATATGTTAATCGTTAAAAACGTTTGAACCACAATGAAACTGATAGAATAACTTCTTGAGTTTTAAACTATGTGTTAATATAACACAATTATTAACGTCTGAAATTGTTGTTTAAAATCTATAATTGTCTAAATTATTATATTGCTTAAAATAAACAATCATTTTATTAAATTAATGTTAAATAATAAACAACAATTGTTATTTTAAAAGTTTAACAATAATAATTCACAAATAAATAAAAAATACTATTATAAACAAAATAGGAATTTTAAATTTATTGTCCTGTTTATTTGATGGTTTATTCTATTAAAATAATAAATTTTATTTTCATTTTATTGAAAACAAAGAAACATTTTTACTATTATTTGGTTGTCCATTTCAATTTAAAATATTTTCAATGTTTTTTAAAGTTGTGTTTAAATAGCTTTTTTAATTTATTTATTATTTTTATTTTATTAATATAATTTGTTTTCATGTTTGTTTTTATATTCATTATAACTTCAAATTTCAAAATCAATAATTAGTTTTTAATTGAAAATATTTAGTT